TTTCTTTCTTTCTTTCTTTCTTTCTTTCTTTCTTTCTTTCTTTCTTTTTGAGCCTGCAATGTTGAGAATAATTTGTGTGAAAGCATGCCCAAGATGAAGTTTCTAAAGCACCTGAAACTTCCGAGAAGGATAAGATACGGGGAAAAGTCTCCATATCAAATTCAAAACGCTTATCTTAATATTTATGAAGTGGCTAAATAAGTAAAGACCACAATGTTAACCTTGGTGCTTACTGAAACTTTAACCTGACATATGGAAGGAAACATTTGGAACTTTAACAATGGTAGCAAAATACTGACTTAAGACGTAGCGTGTTTGGAGTTTGCAGCACAGAAAAGGTGCAAGAAAAGACATCCTCTTCCATCAGTAATTGTATTACCTACATGGACTTTCAAGAGACTTCCGATTGTTACCTTTCTGATCAGGGGGTTAAAACTATTTTGTGATTGACAAAGTAGTATGTTTCTTGGCTTTCTACAGGTGTGTTTCCATCTCCTGCTTTCCTTTTATTCTCTAACACAGCTCTGGCTCTCCTTCCAACGTAAAAATACCATGACAGTCTCTGTCATGTCACATAGCCACATAGCAGATAAGGAATAAAAGATGCTATGAGAGTTCAGGAGATAGCCCAGTCAGCAAAGTGGTGTGTGTGTGTGTGTGTGTGTGTGTGTGTGTGTGTGTGTGCGCGCGCGTGCGCCCGCGTGTGATGAGGGCCAGAGTTTGACCTCCATGTAAATAAGCCATAAGCTGGGCATGGTTGTACATACTTGTAACCCCAACACTAGGGAATCAGAGAGAGGAGGGCCCCTAGGGTTCACTGACCATCCAGAAAAGTCCACATGACAAGTTCTAGTGCAGCAAGAGATTGTTTTTAAAAACTAAACGTGGACTGTGTCTAAGGAATGACACTCAAAGCTGTTTGCTGGCTTCTATACTCATGCACACATGAACATGTACACATGTGGGTTCAGTGGGCACCTATTCAGACCCACAGATAAAGTCATATACCTGTTGTGCTACATGCTGGAAACATAGAAGAAAATTACTCTTGATGACAGAACAGTGTTTAATCTACTTTTTCTTGATAATTTTGCCCTTAATTGTTTTTTTACTCCTTACTATCTTATCTTCTTTTTCATTTAAATGGATTGCAGTATTTCCAGAATTGGGCTGTTTTCATACACTTACTTCATTTTTCAAAAGAAAAATTATTAATGGTGTAAACATAATAACATTATTTAGCTTCCCAAATTGGTAAAATGTTAGCTAAGTGTCAGATATTCCCTGCCATTCAAGGTCCACCATAAGAACAAACCAATTAAAAATAGAAAGGAAAAATTAAAAAACAAATAAAAATTAAAGAAATTAATAAAAAAAGAAAGGACTGGGATGCAAAGAACAGAAGCAACATTTGTTGTTTTTGGATAGTATGAATTTCCTCAGGGTTATTTCTTCTAATATTGTTCTTTCGGAAAGGAAAGCCTTTGCTCAGGGCCCACCAGCTCTACACCGTAAATAGGGCAGGCCAAGTATACCAGAAGCCATGTTCACTTCCCAGGGAGTTGGCAATCAGCTGTAATGAAGCAATGATAAATTACACCAATGTGCTAATTGTGGGACTTTGTAACAAAACTAGGCCATACTTTGGCTTAGAAGTGTTAGGTATAGATGTTTTTTCAAAAACTTTTATTGAAGGAGGATTTTATTTCCTTGAAGCATTTTATACTTTGCAGTGGCTTTCCTTTAATCCCTCCATTAAAAAAATTTTAGAAAGGAAAAAAAAAAAAAACCTAAGGTATAAGTAAAAAAAAAAAAGAGCAAGTATTTTAAGTGTTTAAATATTGGTATCATATTTATGGCTACTATGATAATATTGATTACTTTGCACAAATGTGAAAAACCATATGCTTAGAACATGTTAGGTAGTATGTGTGTGTATGTATACATATACCATATATGTAGTAGCACACATTGGTATATATCCTGGATGTTTTTGTTTTAAATGAAGACAAAAATAATGCTTATATGAAGCAATATTACCAAGTTAAATTATTTGTAAATTAATTTCTTATATATCAATCTTTAAAAAAATTATGATATTCCTCTGTGGTCTGGTAAGGCTGCTCCCCCCTCAGGGGGAAGTGATCAAAGAACAGGCCACTGAGTTCATGTCAGAGACAATTCCTGTTCCCATTACTAGGGAACCCACTTGGACACTGAACTGCCATGGTCTACATCTGTGCAAGGGTTCTAGGTTATCTCCATGAATGGTCCTTGGTTGGAGTATCAGTCTCAGAAAAGATCCCTAAAGCCAGATTTTTTTTCTTTCTTGTAGAGCTCCTGTCCCCTCTAGGTCTTTCTAACTCCTGCTTCTTTCATAAAATTCCCTGCACTCTGCCCAAAGTTTGGCTATGAGCCTCAGCCTCTGCTTTGCAACCACTCCCGATGAGACCTGATAGACTAGGATCAGATGGAAAGGGTGGAGGACCTCCCTTATCAGTGGACTCGGGGAGGGGCATGGGTGGAGAAGAGGGAGGGAGGGTGAGATTGAAAGGAGATGAGGGAGGGGGCTACAGCTGGGATACAAAGTACATAAACTGTAATTAATAAAAAAAAATAAGCTAAGAAAATCATGATATTAATTTTTAGAGAAGAAACATTTTTGTTAAAATAAGGTCATCTGGCTTTAGAAAAATTATAAAACATTATTCTAGTAGTTATTTATCCTGTCACTTCTGAAGTAGTCACTAAATTCTGTAGGAGTAGGGATTTAAAAATATACTACATTTCATGCAGCCCTGCTGGAAAGCTATCTACTTCAAAAATAAATTTCTTCTGAACTGGGGAATTGTGGGTGGTGAAAGACACACAATTGTGGCTATCAAATCATGGAAATGTTTCTTAAACACCAAACATGTTTGTTGAAAATGTATTAGACTTTCACATCACTTTAGGCTCTTTGAGAAAGGGTGACAGTGTAGCCCAGGTCAAGGGTTTGGACTAAAGGCATATTTAGACAGATTTTATTTATTTATCTGTTTATTTATTTATTTAGATTTATTTATTTTATATGAGCACTCTATCTGTGGATCATATGTGCAGAAGAGGTCATCAGATCCCAGTATAGATGGTTGTGAGCCACCATGTAGTTGTTGGGAATTGAACTCAGGACCTCTGGAATAGCAAATAGTGCTCTTAACCACTAAGCCATCTCTCCAGCACCCTAGATTTTATTTGTTTGCTTGCTTGCTTTTTAGATATGGAGGTCTCATGCAGCCTAGGTTTGCCTTGAACTTGCCATATGGTTGAATATGGCCTTGACTACTGATCCTTCTACTTCTGCCTCCAAAAAGCTGGGATTCCAGGTTTGTGCCACCACATCCAGACTAGATGTATTTTGAAGAAAATTCTTTAAAGCTGGACATAGGCATGGTGGTAGATTTCTATTTTTCCAAAGAGGAGGATCGTAAGCTCAAGGCCAGCCTGAAATATATAATGAGTTCAAGGCAAGGAGGGCTATACAGTGAGAACATTGTTCAAAAAAAAAAAAAAAACTACTTGAACTACTATAATCTACTATAATGTTAAACACTGTTTAACTTTTCATTCCCAAAGCAACTCAACTTCAACATGGGAAATGAGAACAGTAATTTTATTGTTTGGCTCTTTGGGCAGTGGAATACTGCCTAAGGCATGATGTTATATCTCAATGATAATAGTCATTAATATAGTTTTCCTTCAATAGAACTCAAAGAAATTATTCACTTTTCCTGTACCACTAAGCTATCATAATTATACCTTATAAATCATATAACACGGAAATATTCATCTCAGTCTTGACATAAAAATAGACTGTTATTTGGACTCACAGGTTTTCTTTTTAATTTTTTTTTTACAATTTATTCATTATCTATCCCAATTGGAGCCCCCCTCAACTCCTCTCAGTCCCACTGTCCTTTCCTCTTCCTCCATCTCCTTCCTCTAGTCCACTGAAAGGGTGAGTTCTTCTCTTCTACCATCTGTCCATAGCTTATCAAGTCTCAACAGGACTGCCTAGATCCTCTTCCTCTGTGGACCACATCGCCAGGAACAAGTGACCAAAGAGCAGGCAACCAAGCTCATGACAGAGGCAGCCCCTGCTTTCCTTACTCAGGAAGCCACATGGAGACTGAGCTGCCAATGGGCTACATCTGTGTAGGGGGTCTAGGTCCT